GAGAGTCCTGCAGCTATCTCTGGTGCAAAGGCTGTGCTCTGTAGGCTGTTGTCTCTGATCTCTGCATCACCAGGACCTGGGGTCTCTGGCTCAAACCCCCCTGCTTGCCAGAAACCACTGCCTTGGGGTTGCAGGGGGTCCCTTAGGCAGCTGCAGAACAGTACGTGTCCCCAAGACCATCATGGAGCCAAATGCTCGTGGCACTAGCAAGAAGGCCTGAGTATTCCCAATGGGAGATTACAATGTGCTACATTTCCCCCACAGGATATCTTCATACTTTCCCCGTCCTTTCACAGGAGAGAGAGGACCTGTGACCAGCTGCATCTCCCTCACCCTTGCTACCCCACTGCACTCAGAAAAGGGACTCTACTGCCTCCTGCCCAGAGGGTCCTTCAAATGGGAAGGGTCCTTGCTGCACAGGACAGGGGAGTCAAGCCTTGAGTCATGTCTCTAGTGGGTTATGGAATACAGAAAATCCCACACAATTTACTGATTCGTTTTGATGCACTGGCTGGGGGAGTAGTTAGCTGATTGCACGATTTCACAATGATTACACACTTAATTCATACAACACAATTTTATTTCAAAACTCTTTACTACGTATATAACACTGCTTAGCTTTAAGAAACACCACAAACATTAAGAACACAATAATTACATATATCAGAAACAATGCTCTGAATGCACTTCCTTCCCAAACAATGCTATAAAAATTAGTGTTACAAAAACTACAATTACAACTAAAAGTTAAATTTGAATCAATACTATTATTTTTCATAATATACTTACAATCCTAGAATTCCGAGAAGCCAAATACCAAAATATGGTTTCATTCCTCAGTAGTACGATTTAATGGGTTGGCCTCAGTAGTACGGTTCAATGGGCTCGCCTCAGCAATACAATTCAATAGGCTGGCCTCAGCAGTGATAGGACTAAATCCCCTTCCTTCAGTCCCTTTCAGGTGCTCCGCGGCTTCAGCATGAACTAAGAGATTCGCGTTCACGGAGAGGGTGGCTCAGGTGATCAGTCTGTTCCGGCCTACACTTGCGATTCTTCCTTCGTTGTTCTGCAAGTATAGTCACCTCCAAATTGGGACAGTAAATTACAGTTTTTATTGAGTGAGCTGCCGTCAGTGGGCTCCTCCTACTCAACTTGTCATTACTCCCAAATTTGGGCTCGGATCTTACTCAACAGATTCTTTTGCCTTTGTTGAGCATTTTAAATTACTCTTGGGGAGACTTCCATATCACTGCAAATGCCCTTTTCTTACCAATCTTGTTAAAAGGCCTTAGGGTGTGATCTCTCGGAATTCAGGATATTTGCTCTCTTTGTAAAAGACTTCTAAAGATAACATTTAAATTAAGACTTTAACCGAAGTCAGGACATTTTGCACGTAGTCCCAAAAACAATGAGCTAGATAAGGAGATAAATACTATCTTCTTCCTGAAACTGGCTAATGGGCAACCTTTACAAACATTCACACTATTTCATTCAATATGACAAGTCAGACCAACTCCTGCTCCTGAGGGTTAGAAACACGCCCCACATTGCAGTGAATGCTCTGGAAAGAAAAGAGGTGGGAAGTCACAGAGGGATCTGCCCTAGAAAGGGTTGTGGACCCTGGTATGCTCCATTGCCCGGCTCTGGAGAGGACACAGAGAACAATGACAGGGGTAGCATGTTCAGTTCTGGGGCTTTAACAACAGGGAATGCATTAGAGAACGCAACAAAGGGAGGGAGGCAGCAGGCACCCAGGGGTGCACAGTCCTGGGGAGGCTGAAAAGGAAAACAGGTAAAAAAGGTTCAGGGATGGCAGGAGCAGCTCCTTGCAGACCGCACTGGGCATGGGCAGGTTTGGGAAATGGGTGATGTGGTGGTGAGGAAAGGTGAGGTCAGGATGGAGAGCAGGGAATGAACAGGTTCCAAGGCAGGTGCAAAAGTCCTCTCTTACTCATCTTCCCCCAGCATCAGGGCTGATCTTTGCCTGTGATGTTTCCTCTTAGCCCCTCCCTGCAATCACACCTTGAGGGCCAGCCTTTGGGCCCTGGGCTTCTGCGGTGCCCTACAAGGGATGAAGCCTGGGGGAACTCTTTCTGCAGTCCACCAGCATGAGGGTGCTTGCCTAAATGCACCTGCTGGTGGGTGCTGAGCAGGTAGACATCCCCATGCTCCTCTTGCATTGTGGGCAGAAGTATGGATGCTTCCAGGTGTGGATGTGCTCATGCTGGAACACATGGGAGAAATGGGTGAAGCTCTTCCCACACTCTAAGCATTGATGTAGCTTCTCCACCATGTGGATGCACTGATGCTCAGTCTGGCTGGAGGACTAGGTGAAGCTCTTCCCACACTCAGAGCACTGATGTGGCTTCACCCCTATGTGGATGCACTGGTACTCAGCCATGGTGGAGGAGCAGATGAAGTTCTTCTCACACTGAGTGCCAATACTGTTTTTCCCTCCATGTGGATGCACTGATGCTTGGCCAGGTGGGACGACTGGGTGAAGCTCTTCCCACACTCAGAGCACTGATATGGCTTCTCCCTTGTGTAGTGGAAGCGCTGATGCTGCGCCAAGCCATAGGATTTACTGAAGCTCTTGCCACACACTGGGCACTTGAGTGGCTTTTCCCCCATGTGGATGCGCTGGTGCTGGGCCAGCCGGGAGGGATACATGAACCTCTTTCCACACACAGAGCATTGATGTGGCTTCTCCCCCATGTGGGTATGCTGGTGCTCGGCCAAGTGGGAGGACTGGGTGAAGCACTTCCCAGATTCAGAGCACTGGTGTGGCTTCTCCCCTGTGTGGATGAGCTGGTGCCGGGCCAGGTAGGAGAAGTGTGTGAAGCTCTTCCCACACTCAGAGCACTCATATGGTTTTTCTCCTGTGTGGATGCGCTGGTGCCGAGCCAGGTTGTAGGGGTAGGTGAAGCTCTTCCCACACTCAGAGCAATGATGGGGCTTCTCTGCCTTGTGGATGCACTGGTGCTTGGCCAGGTTGGACGCGTGGGTGAAGCTCTTCCCACAAACAGGGCACTGATATGGCCGCTCCCCTGTGTGGATGTGCTGGTGCTCGGCCAAGTGGGAGGATTGGGTGAACCTCTTCCCACACACAGAGCACTGATGTGGCTTCTCCCCTGTGTGAATACGCTGGTGTTGGGCTAGGTTGGAGGCATGGGTGAAGTTTTTCCCACACACAGAGCACTCATATGGCTTCTCCCGTGTGTGAATACGCTGGTGCTGGGCCAGACGGGAGGGGTAGGTGAAGCTCTTCCCACACACAGAGCACTGATGTGGCTTCTCCCCTGTGTGAAGAAGTTGGTGCTTGGCCAGGCTGTAGGAATAGGTGAAGCTCTTCCCGCACACAGAGCACTGATGTGGCTTCTCCCGTGTGTGCATACGCTGGTGCTGGGCCAGCTTGGAAGAGTAGGTGAAGCTCTTCCCACACACAGAGCACTGATGGGGCTTCTCCCCTGTGTGGTGGATGAGTTTGTGCTGAGCCAGGCTAGACGTGTAGGTGAAGCTCTTCCCACACTCAGAGCACCTATGTGGTTTCTCACCTGCATAGTGGATGTGCTGGTGCTCAGCCAGGCGGGAGAATCGGGTGAAGCTCTTTCCACACTCAGAGCACTGATGTGGCTTCTCCCCTGTGTAGTGGATGCGCTGGTGCTGGGCCAAGCCGTAGGATTTGCTGAAACTCTTCCCACACACAGAGCACTGATGTGGCTTCTCCCCTGTGTAGTGGATGCGCTGGTGCTGGGCCAAGCCGTAGGATTTGCTGAAACTCTTCCCACACACAGAGCACTGATGTGGCTTCTCCCCTGTGTAGTGGATGCGCTGGTGCTGGGCCAAGCCGTAGGATTTGCTGAAACTCTTCCCACACACAGAGCACTGATGTGGCTTCTCCCCTGTGTGGATAAGCTGGTGCTGGGCCAGGTTGGAGGATTGGGTGAAGCTCTTCCCACACTCAGAGCACTGGTGTGGTTTCTCCCCTGTGTGGATAAGTTGGTGCTGGGTCAGGCTATAGGATTGGGTGAAGCTCTTCCCACAGACAAAGCAGTGATGTGGCTTCTCCCCTGTGTGTACAAGCTGGTGTCGGGCTAGGTTGGAGGAGTCAGTGAAGCTCTTCCCACACACAGAGCAGTCATGTAGCTTCTCCCTTGTGTGGATGAGGTGACCTTTGGGTAAGGAAGGGTAGTGGGTTAAGCTCTTTCCACTCTCCGAGGACTTATGTGGCTTCTCCCTTGTGTGCATGGACTTGTGCCTGGCCAGGTTGGTGGGCTTCCTGAAGCTCTTCACTCTCTTGCTGCCATGGAGTGGCTGCTGCCCCCTTGGCACACATTGGTGCTGGGACAGGCCTTGCCAGCTGATGAAGTTCTTCTTGCACTTGGTGCAATGATTTCTCTTCCTCCCCAAGTGCATGCGACGGTGCTGAACCAAGGAGAAGAAAGAGGTGAAGATCTTAGCACATGTGACACAGAGGTATTGATGTTTCTTCCTGTGCACGTATTGGTTCTTGACCAGCTCCAAGCAGCCCACAAAGCTCTTTCCCCATTTGGTGAAGTGGTGGGGAAGATGTCCAGAATGGATCTGGTGGTGAGCAGCCAGGGTTGAGAGGCAGGTGAAGCTCTTCCCACACTTGCTGCACATGTGGGGCTTCTTTCCAACGTACCTTATCTTGTGCAGAGCCAGGAGTGAGGGGCAGCTTAAGCTTTTCCTGCATTCAGGGAAGGGGTGGGCTCTCTCCCTGTGCTCGGCAGTGATCTTCTGCTTCCCTCTGAGGCCATCTTCACTGCCTTGGTTTGCATGCAGTCTCTCTCTCCGGCAGACCTTTGCCTTGTGCCTCTTCATGTTCCTGAGCACCACAAAATCTTCCCTGTGCCCTGGGCTCTTTCTGGCTTCTTTCCCTTCTTCATTATCTTGCCCAATTGGAAGCGAGGTCTTGTTCACTGCTACATTCTCCTTCTGCCTTTGGGGACTCCCCTGACCCTTGTGCCATTTGTCTGTCACAGGGTGCAAGGAGTCCATCTCACCTAAATTCTTTGGGGAAGCCCATGGTGGCTCCAGGATTGCAGGCCCTTCCTCAGGAGCCTGCTCCTCAGCTCTGCTCAGTGGCCAGGCACCTCCTGCATGGGGAACAGAAACTCCAGATTAGTTCCCATCATGCTGGAAAAGGGTAAACACTGCTTTTACTTCTGCTGGATTGGCCTCCCAGCGGAACTGGATCTCAGCACTTGTGTTTTCTCAAGAAAATAAGGTCTTCTTGCCAAAACTCCAAGTGCCAAGGGTGAGGCATTGCCAGGTCCCTGTGCCAGTCTCAGCTTCCCTACTAGGTGTGGTTCTGAGCCAGACTCAAGGTTTCTGGCCTAGCTCTCAGCCCTATCACCTAACGCCATGCTGGGAGAAACATGTGGGACAGGCACATTTGGATAGTATCTAAATGGCTTCATGTTCTAATGGGCTGCACATGAGACCAAAATGATCTGCTGAAAGAACAATGAGACTCCTGATGCTGCTCCTTCCCACAGCAGGGTGGGTCCAGGGGGAGATGGTGCTGAGCCCTCCACCTGACTAGGCTGACATGCTCCAGAAGCCCAAGGGCTTTGGTGAGACTGTTCTTCACTGCTTGCCCTTGATTTCTGGCAGTCATGAGAGCAGCATCTGGGTCCAAGGGTGAACAGCCTCAGGGTGGATTTCTGGGGCTTGTCAGCAGCCAGGATTATGTGGTGAGCTTTGCCTTATATGGGACCAGGTGCTTCTGTGAATAAAAATCAACAATATTTTGCTTAAATAAAAAAAAAAATCTGATGTTCTTATTTAAATCAGATATTTTTATTTAATTGTATACTTTTTTTTGTTAAGATGGCATTATATAAAAAAATACCTATATGAAGTTTTATTTTAAGCTATATTAAAGCTCAAAGATATCATCATGGAATAAGAATGACTTATAATTATATACTACTTCAGACAATATATTCATGTATCCTTTTTAAAGAAGTTTTATCAAAAGGCCACAACAGGGCATGGACTATATATTAGGAGCCCAATCTGATAGGGTTCCCAGAGGCTCCTCTATAGATTAGTAAAGATTAAAGAAAACCATTCTGCCCAATGGGACTCAGTGCTAAGTCCAGAAGATCCCATTAAGCTTCTCTGTGACGTTTCGTTTCAGTTCTCAAACTGGATTTTTGTCTCCAGAGAAAACATCCTTGTTAACAGCAGTATATGGAGTTGAGAAACAACCAGCCTGATTACCCACCCATCAGCCCTATTGTATCACTGCAAGTTTGTATATACAGATTCAAGCCCTTACCTTTCTCTAAAAGTGCAAAGTTTAAAAAAAGATCAAAGTGCACTTCAGAACGTGCAGAGTTTCATAGTTGGTAGGGTCGGAAGGGACCTGAGCAGATCATCAAGTCTGACCCCCTGCCATGGCAGGAAAGAGTACTGGAGTCAAATGACCCTGGCAAGGTGTTCATCCAGCCTCCTTTTACAGACTCCCAGGGTAGGAGCCAGCACCACTTCTCTTGGAAGTCGGTTCCAGATTTTAGCCGCCCTGGCAGTGAAGTAGCGCCTCCTGATATCTAGCCTGAATCTACCCTCTGCCAGCTTGTGACCGTTATTTCTTGTCACTCCTGGTAGTGCTCCGGGGAACAGGGACTCTCCCAAAGCCTCCTGGTCCCCCCGACTAGTTTGTAAATGGCCACTAGATTCCCCCCTCAGTCTTCTCTTGCGGAGGCTGAACAGGTTCAGGTACCTTAGCCTCTCCTCGTAGGGCCTGCTCTGCTGACCCCAATCATGTGGGTGGCCTCCTCTGGACCCTCTCCATTCTGTCCACATCCCTCCTGAAGCACGGTGCCCAGAACTGGACACAGTACTCCAACTGTGGCCTGACCAGTGTCGCACAGAGGGGGAGGATCACCTCCTTGGACCTGCTTGAGATGCATCTGTGGATGCATGACAAGGTACGGTTGGTCTTCCCGACTGCGTCCCCACACTGTTGGCCCATGTTCATTTTGGCATCAATAATGACTCCAAGATCCTTTTCTGCCTCTGCACTGACGAGAAGGGAGTTCCCCAGCCTGTAGGTCTGCTGCTGGTTCTTCCTCCCCAGGTGCAGCACCTTGCACTTGTCCGTGTTGAAACCCATCCTGTTCTCATCCGCTCACCCCAGTAACCTGTCTAGGTCTGATTGCAGCCTATTCCTCCCTTCTAGCATGCCCACATCCCCCCACATCTTAGTGTCACCTGCGAATTTGACCAGGGTGCTTTTTACACCCCTGCCCAAGTCGCTGATGAAGATGTTGAACAGTGTGGGCCCGAGGACTGAGTCCTGTGGAACCCCACTGCCCACATCCCTCCAGGTGGAATAAGACCCATCCACCACCACTCTCTGGGTGTGGCCCTCCAGCCAATTAGTGACCCATTAGAGTTACAGTTTGCCAGGCTGTAAGAGAAATATTCTGTTCTCAAATATTTTAATGAAATTCATCTACCCATGGGTAAGACAGGCATGCGTGCAAAATGCAAACAGTGAAACAAAGAAATGCAAGGCCTGGTTGCCCAAATGAAACAACATCGTGAGATGTGCTCCTTCTCAGGAGGAAGCTGCTCTGAAGACGATGAATGAAACATGTCTGAATATGCAGGATCTCCAGGTTAGTAAACTTCTTGTTTCCTGCTTCTTTCTTAAGGACTGCCTGTCTTCCCTCTCCATATATTTTGGAAGGACGTCAGGAATACTTGAATTCTCATAAAAATGTTTGAGAAAAAATATAGTTGTTACTTTATGGAACTATCATATCACTTGTGATATAAAATAATGGCTGAAATAGGCAGATCTTCCTTTTACAGTTTCACTTCTAAAGTAGTACTGAGTAATACTAAATGAGCAGTACTGTAGTGACTGCATTGACTTCTTTTGTTCAGGACGATCCATCCTCAACATACAGGACTCTGAATACCCATCTTCAACATCATCATCACTGTCTACAGTTTCAGAGTTATCTGGCTAATGATACCGGTGTTCCAGTCAAATGTATGGCACATATTATATCACCTGTAGCAAAAAGAAAAAAAAAAGGCTCCACTGTCCAGAAACAACCATAGGTAAATTGGGAATAAGGACCAGCAGATTACAGAGAGAGGTAAGTGATGAAACAAATTGTTCACTTTGTTTCTGCAACAAACTCTCCTTCCGTTATGGTTGAGAACATGCATTTCATTGACATGGTTGTCATTACTACCAGGATACAGTCCATTTAAGAGAGCAGAGCTAGTAGGCAAGTTAGTGGATAAAGTGTATGACAAAAAAACTGAACAATGTGCAAAAAGTCTAGAGGGGAAAATTGTTAACCTGAGTCTTGATGGGTGGAGCAATGTCCACAAGGATCCAGTAAGATGTGCTTGTGTGACAACAGAAGAAGGCACTGTCTACCTTACAGAAACACTTGATTAATCAACAAATGCGCACACAGTAGGATACTTGCAAGTAACAGTACAAGCTATAACAAACTGTGGAAGACAATTCAAGCATCTAGTACACAGCTTTGTCACAGACAGTGCTGCAAACGTATCAAAGATGAGACGAAACCTAGAAGAAAGTGAAGAAAGCCCCAAGCTAATAACATATAGTTGCAGGACTCATTTGATGCACCTCTTTGCCAAAGACTTCAGTGCTCCAGAAATAAAGGGTAATGTTGATATTGCAAAATACTTCCATAACAACCACTTGCAGCAGCTGCTCTGAAGAAACCAAACTAACTCTCCCACAAGACGTGTGATGGACTGTCAGTAGTGGACTGTTGTGAGTGATATATTGAGAACTGGCCTAATCTGATGACAATTTGTGAACAAAATTGTCACAAAATAGATGGAAGTGTCATACCCAAAGTTCTCAACATTGAACTAAAGAGAAAGGTAGAACATACGCTTACTATGCTGAAGCCTATTTCTGTAGCCTTGAACAAAGTACAGGGAAATCGCTCTTTTATTGCTGATACTGTTGAAATTTGGAAGGAAACGAGTGAGAACTTGAAAAGAAATATGCAATGCACTGGCGACGCATGGGGGGTGCACCCCTGAGAGTGCTGGTGAACCCCCAGACAGGCCGCACTCCCCACTTAGGCAATGGGCAGGGAGTGGGCAGGCAGGTGCGCAGTGCAACCCCTGCGAGTGCTGGCTTGGGAGTGAGGGCACCAAATGAAGCGCCACAGCCGCTTCCCGGCCGGCGCAATTGGCTGCGAAGGGACCCCCTGATGGCTGACTGATCACTGTGGGGGGCACGTGCCCCCCTAACTCAGGTGGCACCAGTCACCCATGATGCACTGACAGAGTTAAATTACAGTCATTAAAAAAAAAAGAATGGATCAAGCATGATCTCCAGCTCATTTTCTTGCCAATATTCTCAGTACTACATTCAATCCTTAACTGCTGAAGAAGAGGAGTTAGCTATGACATGGGCATCCAGCAATCATCCCTCCATAATACCAACTATAATAAATTTCAGGGCCAAGGGTGAACCATTCAAGAAATATATGTTTGCTCATGCGGTTTTAAAGAAAGCTACACCAGTGAACTGGGGGAAGTCACTTAAGCACCCGGATCCACCAGAGACTATTGAAGTGATAATCCTGCTTTAAACAACAGTAGCTTCTTCCGCAGGCGTAGAAATAATATTTTCTTCCTTTGGACTAATTTGTTGTACATTGAGAAATCACTTGGCAACTGAAAAAGCAGGGAAGTTTGTCTTTCTTTTCTAAGCTATGAATAAACAGGAAGACAAAGGTGAAGACTGAATTTGCTGCACAACCCAGTATTCTAAATTTCTCATTTTGACCTGGCTGAAATAATCCATTTACTTTTTGTTAAAAGCACATTTCACATTTATAAGTAAAATAGTTAAAAAATAAAAAATACATATACTTCTTTTGTTAAAATAATGACACGTTTGTTGTTGAAGAAAAATATCAAAAATACATAAGCTTGCTGTTTAAGTTAAATAAACCAATTTACATGTCTGTTGTTTTTGGTGAAAGTTATTCTTGTCATCCTAATACAGCGTGGCAAAAATATCCCCTAAACAGCCATGATTAATCTAGTTGGAGATAGTTTACCACCCAATAACTTTACAAGTATCTGCTTCAATTAACTTTGGTAAATAAAATAACCGAATCAGAATTCAGTTTTCTGATGTAGCTGTAAAATTAATCTAAAAAATATATTTTTTTAAAATCACTGCTTTAAAATATATAGTGTGTACCTTCTAAAATGAGACCTACATATACCTCTGAGTTTGGAATAAGATGTATTAAAGTTATATCAAACAAGAATGCACTTTTTGTAGAAAACAATGATTAAATCGAGGCCTCCTGACCAGTGATTTAAATAATAATTTAAATCAAATCTACCTTGCTTTTCTGGCGCACACAAGTGCTGCTTCTGCTTGGTAGAAAAAGCCAACATGTTTTATCCTCTCTCTCTCCAAGAAATGTTCTTGAGAGCTGCGATCTCCCTTCTAGAAGGAGCAGTGCCGTGCTTCTTACCCGTTTCCAGGGCAGTATCAGCTGCAGGGAATGAGACCACAGAGATTTCCTCTGCTGATGAGTCCCAGGGGGCCTCCACAGCACAGGAATCTGCACTGGGACAAAAGGTCTTGGCATGAACCTCCACACGGACTCTGGGCTCAGTCTCAGGCTTTGTGACACTCGGGGCCCCAGAGAGGAAACAGAATGGGGGAGATTCTGGCGCAAATGATGCAGTATTCATTTTTGCCCACGACATGAAATCTTCTGAATCCCACCCACCGCATGAAGCCACTTCATGCAGCCTGAGACCAGGATTAGACACGTCCTGTGTTCCAGGTCAACCTGAACAGGAGACACCAGGGACAGCCCCAGCCTCTCTCTCATCCACGAGCCATGGTTACACAGAGCTTCTTCTGCATACCATGCAGATTTCCATGGGGGACTATAAATCCAATCATGCCATGGGAGAAGGTGTTAGGTATGGCTACTTGGGCTGGGGAATCAACTCTAACAATGGGAAGTGAAGATGGAAATTTAAGATCATGGTGTCCCAGGGAAACCAGATCTGAACCTAGAATTGAAGACAACAAGCTTGATTGTCCCCTAACAGCTGTAGTTAGGGGGAGACGAAGGGGACAGGTGCTTGTCTCCACAGCGTTGAATTTCAGGGAGTGGAACAACACCTGTCTGGACACATGACAACATAAGTTATCTGAGGTCAGCACCCTAGGATGGCAGCACGGGGCAGGTGTCCAGTTTCCAGACCCCCTTTCACTCTGGGCATGGAGCATTTGTGAGAGGGGAGTTGGGTGAAGGGGACACAGTCACAACTTACCTGGCAGCAGGTCCTCCGATTTTGAGATTTCCCCACGGTCCTCATCATCACAGACCCAGAGCTCCACCTGTCCTCGCTGGATGCGGCCAATTAAGTCAGGTGTGGGACCTTGATATCCTGTTTGGGGCAGTGATTAAAAAGTGTTTGTGACTAGATGCAGAATAACCAACCGGGAATTGAGGAATGGATCCAATGAACTCGAGGGTTTTACTAGGGACCGGATAAACAAGGGAATGTTGACATTTAGGATGAAAGAGAAGGCAAAGCAGGGAGCCTTCAGTAAATGAGGGTCCTTGTCATGCCGGTAGTGGATGTATGGTCATAGGAAACAAAGGACCAACCACTCTGAGGTATACACAGCGTATGACACTAAGGGTCCCCAGGAAAAGGGGCGGAGATACATTGATCTATGATGTACTAAGAAGCAGAAGGATAGAGCGTTTATTATTTTCAAGGTACCAAAATTAGGAAACATTGGACACACGTAGGGTTGGATAACGTGCATCTTATCAGTGTAATTCCAAGCAAAGGAGTGGAAATGAGTTTCTCCTCAGTGAAGGTTTGAAGTAAGGACTCCTGGCAGTGTAAAGAATCCATGGTTGGCAATGGACATTCTTCTGCAAGAGATGGTAAATCTTCATCACCAAGACAGAGGAAAGGATGATTTTATAATAACTGCAACTAAAGCAACCATCCCATTAAATGGGTGGATGATCCCAGGGCAGAGACGAGTGCACAGGTTGGCAGGTACTGCATTCAAAGCAAATAAACTGCACAGTTACTGGAAATAGAGAGATAACCACAGTGACAGAGCGATATTTTGAGAGAGCCTAATGGTCCAAAACAGCATACTATGTAAGCACATTGGGCTACTCTGAAAGCTTTGAGAGAGAGAGAACTTGGGGAAACATGAAATGCTAGAAATTACAAGAGAATCCCTGAGCTGCTGTAAAAAAGTCAACCAACAGTCATCTTATAATAATAAAAAGCTTGATGCAGATGCACATAGTGATGCAGGGAAGGAGTTTGCACTTTTAAGTGCTAAAGTAGTACTAGGTGAAATGCAGTCACACCAGGAAAACCAGGTGGCCAACCTTATGGAGAGAGGAGCACCGATACAGTGGTCCCATATCAGATCAGCACTGATATAAAGAAAATTGTCTGTGTGGGTAATCAGCCCGATGTGGCTGATAATTTGTCCGATAAATGCTTACACGAGCGCAGCTACAGCACAGCAGGTAAGCAGCAAGGAACACAGCTGGCAGTGTGGAGAGCTGTCTGCAGCTGGTAGGTTTGGTGTGGTGGAAGGGGATGGGGGAAGGAAAGGGATGTGGAGGGGCAGATCAAGGCCCCTGCAGTGAGGGAGGGAGGGAGTGAAAATGGGGCTGTTTCTCACACCAGTCTTATCAGCTGCAGGCAGATCTCGACACTGCTGGCCGTACTTCTTGCTGCTTAGGTGCAATGCTGCAGCTGTGCAAATGCGTGGGCATTTCTTGGACAAATTATTGGCCACATTGGGCCGATTTCTGATACCAACAACTTTCTTTATATCAGTGCTGATCTGATATCAGACTGCTGTATCGGTGCACCTCTAACCATAAGGTTGGCCACCTGGTTTTCCTGATGTGACTGGCTTTTGCCAGCTGGATGCAGTCCTTCAAGCTGAAGAGATGCATATCGGAAATTGGATTGGCAACAGCCTCCTTAAAAATCGGCTATCAGTATCGGCTCCAAAAATTTCTATCAGAATAGCTTAGGTTTCATGAGGTATTGAAGGAAAGAGAAGTCCTCCAGAAGTGATAGAGATGGATTTGGATCATGTTTTATTCAGAAAGGACAAGAACTGCATAAAGTGGAGCAGTCAGAGAAGGAGAACTGAATTACTTACATAAAAACAGTGAATAACAGGGTGGGAATTACTGTATTTCATCTAGAAAATGAACAGGATAAGAGACTGGGGCTGAAAGGTAACTAATATAATACCACATCTCTACTTGAGACAGACAGGTAGCAAACACCAATGGTCTAATGACTGAAGAACAGTGACTTACCCAGTCTTTGAAAAAGGTAAGGAAAAGTTTATTGCAGCCAGAATCAGGAGGACCACCAACCAGTAGGTTTTTAGAAGAGGGCAAAAATCCTCTGACGTTTTCAAGATAATTACAGTAAAGAACAAAAAGCTCTAGATCAGTGTTTTTCAACCCATGGATCATGACCGAAAAGGCGGTCGCAAACATATTTCAAAGGGTGGTGAGCAAGTCCCAGAAAAACATGGGAAAGCACAGGTTTCCCCTTGCAGGCGGGCAGCATACAGCCTGCAAGAGGCTGCTTGGGGTGACTAGAGGCAGCAGGTGCACATACAAGGGCCTGTGCCTGCCAGAACTTGAGGGAGGTGGTCGGGCACCCAGGCTGCAGCAGGGTAGGGGGGCAGGGGGCTGGTTGGAGGTACTAGCCCCTCTGTGGCGGAATGGGGTGGAGAGCTGCATGGCTCAGCTGGTGGCACTGGGGCTGGTTCTTGTACTCAAAGGGGCAAGGCAGCCAGAAGATGCTGCAAAGGGGGCAGGAAGGCCCACAACCAAGGTGGCTGGAATGGCATCAGAGCCCCAGCCCTGGAGCGGGGTGCCACAGGGCTCCCCTCCTCCTCCCTCAAGTCCATGCTGGGGCCATATTCTCTCCACTGCTGCCCACATGAGCCAGAGCTGCCACAACACGCCAGCCTGAGTGGGAGAGGGGCAGCTTGGGGCCCCCTGTGCCAGGGCTGGGGAGGTAGGGAACTTGCAGGGTGGGAGTGAGGAGCACAAGGAAAGCCCTGGGGGGAGGGGATTGTGTCAGGCACCAGCAGACACAGGGGTGTGTGGGCCCAGCCATCGATCTTTGCTAATGGGTCCTGACATGAAAAGAGTTGAGCTACTGCTCTAGATGGGCTGTGCTAAGCTAGAAAAAGCATTTGCGCACTTCCCTAAGGAAGTGTTTTGGGGGAAATGGAGGGAAAAAGAAAGCATCAGAAAAGCAAACTCACCCAGGAAAAGGTAAGTACCTGAACCCTGCACACAAGACAGAACTAAGTCCATGTTACAGATGTTCTGGAAAGCAAAACTGTTTTTCACTAGGCCCTGCACCAAGCCCAATTTTTTTATAACAGTGATCGGTGTCTGACATGTAGGAGGAATTTAGGGGGAGGACAAGTACACTTGTGAGAATGACAGAGAGCATAGGTGCCCTGGCAAGCTTGAGAGCACAGGTCTCCAAGTAAATAGAGCAGAGCCAGAGTCTCTAATCTCTGGAGATGAGGATGACAGGAAGGATGGGGAAAGAACCATCCAGTGATTCCTTGCTAGACATACCAGGGTCCCAACACATGTACGTAGGTCACTAAGAAGAAGCTGAGGAAATGTATAATCCATGTATTCTAGCAACAGAGACTGATACGACTTCCATTAACTTCAGGGGGACCTAACTAGAAGAAAAGGGAATTTGGAGAGCACTGAACTGAGCACACTCAGATTGTTAAATGCGATTAAACAGGGCACACTAGGCAAGAGAGGGAGGAAATCTGAATAATTCCCCAAGGAACAGCTGTTAGTGAATTTGTAGGCACAGTGAATTGGAAATGATACGAGCACACTGAGAAGGCAAAGGGGAAATCATGTGCCAAGACACTGCTGAATACAGAAGCAACAGGATCTACTGGAATGGAGAAGACTCCAGTGAAGGTGCTTGATCAGGAGAAGGAGATTTCAGCATGAAATGCCAGAAAGCGCAGATCACTGACAGAGCAGTGGGGAAGAAGAGGATTTAAGCCACCAGACAAAAGTTCATGAGCATAAGACTACTGGAAAACAGGGACAAGATAGTTCAGAGCTCACATGGCTCCAGGGAGAGGCAAGAACCAGAGCTTTACCCAGGGAAAGGAGGGCTTGGTAGTTCCTCAGCATCTGGTCCTGGTAAAGCCCCTTGTCTTCCTCTTCTAGCAGCTCCCACTCCTCCCGTGTGAAATACATTGCCACGTCCTCAAACACCTCCTGGAGCTGCAGGCACAAGCGTTACAACATCAGTGTCTCCTGCCCCAGCTGCCCCCACAGCCCTGTCTGCACTCACTCTGCACTACAGCGCTTTGCACGCTTAGCCATGACAGGCAGGGGCACAGTTCCCCACCAGTCACCTGCCACGTGATGTGGATGCAGCTGTGGATATAGGAGCTTGTGTGTTGGACTCAGCCCAGCTCAACATGCTCCATTTCCTCTGCCCTTGGAGGCAGCCCAGGCAGCACATTTAGAGGCAGGGAGCCCAGCTCCAGAGACTCTAGCCAGGCCTTCCCATGCCAGTACCCCTGGCTCTCTGCACCCGGGAGCATGCTGCTGCTAATGCAGCTTGGGGTGTTTGCAACTTCATCACCAGAGGCTTCTCGCTCTTCAGGTCTCTCTGCTCCACAAGCTCTTTACAGAATCCCTGGCTTCTCCTGGGCTCTGCCCCAGCTGCACTCCCACCCCCACCTCGAGCTGGTGCCTTGCCCACCTCCATGCTCTCCCCCTGCTTCACCAGCCTGCCCTGCCCCTCCTGCAGCTGGCCCAGCTCTGTCCCCGTCTCCCTGGGGAGGGTCTCTGCAGCTCCAGGTTTACAGGTCCTTCCTTGGGAGGCTGCTGATCTGCTCTGCTCAGGGTCATGGGACCTGTGGGTGGGAAGACAGCACACAGGTTAGCCCTGGGGTGGTGGCACCAGGAAAGCCCTGCTCTCTCCTGGACTGGCCTGGGATGAAGGGAGCTAGGGAGACTCATCGTCCCACCGCTCTTGCTAACAGACCTCCACAGGCACCCAGCTGGAGATGAGCCCAGCACCGGTGGTGATCACAGCACAGCATCTGAGCCGGCAGGGTCATCGCTCCTGGGGGAGAAGCTGGAGGGACCTTGGTGCTGTGTCCCATCCACGTGTTGGCGGGGAGGGAAATGCAGGGTCAGTTTGCTGCAAGTGTGAAATGCTTCCAGGGGCACTGGGGGAACAAGAGCAGCCTCACGAGCTGTTCTGGCAAAGAGATTTCTGCACTGGGGGGCAGGGAAGGGGAGACCTGCCACTCCTCACCTCCCTGGGGAAGAGCCTAGTCAGGGGTGCCCACCTGGGCTCCCCTCCACATGCCGACAGGTCCTAGGTCTCCCATGTCCAGGGATCTACAGCAGGACTGGGGTGAGGGGAGGGGGGGTGTTGGGGTCACTGCATGTGGATCAGACAGACGTTTCCGTGGACCTTGCCCCTGCCCCAGGCCTGAGACAACGCGGTGCGCTGGCCCCGTGTGCCCCCTTACCCCTGCTCCCCGCGGGCCAGGCCGGGTCGGGCGCAGCGGGATCCCGCTCCGCGGGCTCGGCGGGGCAGGAGGAGGGACGGGGCGGGAGGAGCCCGCTTCCCCGCCGCAGCACGTCCTGTTCCTGCTCCTGCTCCTGCCCCCGCACCGCCGGGACCTGCCCGGGACGGGACACCCCCGCGCCACCTGCCCGCAGAAGACGCTACTTCCCGGGGAGGGGGCGAGGCCTCCTGGTCCTTCCCAGCCTGCTTTGCAAGCCCTGCCCGCCGCGATTGGAGGAGGCAGCAACGCGTTGGACCCCACCCCCACTTGGGACCAGCTTCAGCACGACCCTCATCTGCATATGCAAATCGCATGTAAATGAGACCCGCGGACGGCGTTGCCCCCTGCCCAGCGCAGCCCCACACGAGCTGTCAGGGCGCGGGGCGCGGACACACGTGACAGCCCGGTGTGGACGCGGCCAGAGCCCGGACCGAGCACACGTGCGGGCTGCAAACGGCTCCCAGCCCCGCCCCGCGCGGCCCACCGGAGGGAGGGATGGAGGAGCCCCCCGCCCACACCAAGCCCCTTGCAGGGCCCAGGGCACAGAGGAACAGGCTCCCCTTGCCTGGGGGCGCTGCCCAGGAGCCCGGGGTGACCTGCCTGCGCCTCAGCCGCCTCTGGGTCCAAGCCCTGTGCTGCCCTGAGACCGCGCACATTCATCACTGTGCTGGGGACAAAAAAACAAGCCCCCCCCAGGCAATTAGTCCACACCGGTGGAGGGGTCCAGCTTTCCACCACGCGGGGGGCCAGGTAACGTGCACCGGAGCAGAGCAACCCCACCCGGGATAGGACGGGAAACCAGGAGTCAGAGCCCAACACCCCTCCTAACCGTGTCCATGGAGGAGTAACACGGGAGTGAGAGTGCAGGCTGTCAGGCCCTGGCCCTGGGAGAGTGGCCGTCCTGCCATACAAATGTTCGCTGCCCAGACACAGCCACGTCTAGCTGGTGTGGGAGACATTTCCCCTGCATCGCCCCTACCCCTGCATAGAGAGAGCTGCCCTCAGAGCCCACTACAGCTCCCACCCAGCCACAGCCCTCTGCCCCTCTGGGAGGGGGCCATAAAAGACCCAATTCCCCCCCCACAGGGTGCATCTACACAAGACGATTACTGTAGAGTTGCCTAAGTGCCATCTGGTTGTATACCAGATGATGTGGTCCACCCAGCCCAACATGAATCAATCTTTGTTCTCCTGTATGAACACCTGTACTCCCACCTTTGCAGGTGGTGGTACTGGGAGGGCCTTGGGGGCTCTAGGCTCCCCCCCCCAATTCATCCTAGCCACCCCTCCCAGTGCTGCTGCCCACCTGCAGAGACATGGCACATCTGCCTGGCTGCATGGGACAGCCCGGCAGCAGCTCCCTGCAGGTCAGTGTAACGGGCCGGGTGGGGAGCAAGTCTGAGCCACGGGCAGCTTGCGGCAGGGGATGGGGGCGCAGGGGGAGGGAGGGCGGAGGGCTGCCTCTGTGTGATCGAGAGTGGGGGAGGGGGAAGGTCCTGTGAGGGGCAAGTGTGTGTCTGTGTGTGTGTGTGGGTCTGTGTCACTCCCTGCACATGGTCACAGACACAAACACACTCTCCCTCCTGCCATGAACACAGACACACGCATGCACATGGACACACAGACACAAACACATTCTCCCTCCCTCCGTGAACAGACACACACATGCACATACATACACACACAGACATGCATGCACACATGCAGATAGGCACACAGTCTACTCACTTTCTGCCCATGGACACAGACACAAATACAATCTCCCTGCCATGAACACAAACACATGCATGCACACACAGACACACGCATGCACACATGCAGATACAGACACAAACACAGTCTCCCTCCTACCATGAACACAGATGCAGACATGCATATGCACACACATGCAGACACACACATGCACACAGACACACGCACGCACACATACAGATGGGCGTGCACTCTAGTCAAGGTAAGTCATGAGGCACGGTGAGCGGTTGCTGCCTGAACTTCAAAGGTACCACGAACTGGCAATAGGGCTCCCAGGACTTAGCATGGTTCTTAGGTACCCATAGCCGATAAAGGAGTCCTTTATCCCAGACCACCTGTTCCTTCTTATCTGGGGTGAACTCTGTTTCTTGCACCTAGGCCACCCATCAGAATTCCTCCAAGCTGGGGTTTCAACCCCTGTCCAGATAGGCAATCAGCAGGGAGTCCCAGTGCTTCCATAAGGGGTGAACCTTCCTCCACAGGGATGCTCTCTAACTCCTCCCCAAGAGCCTCGGCTTCCTCTGCCACTGACTGACTGGGCTCCTCCCTGGGGCTGTCACTTAGCTTGACCCCAGGGTCATTGGTTCCCTCAGCAGCCAGCTGGTTGCTGCAGTCAGGTGGGGTCTCTTCCTTATCCCCCTCTTGCCTCCACAGTCAACTGGGTTACTTGGCTCTGGGAGGTTTCCCCACCTCCCGCCTTCACCTTCTTGCTCTGCTGGTGAGTCACTAAATTAACACGGAGGGGTTCTACAATGTTTACCCATGCTGCTCTCATGTGCTCAAGCTCTGTAATATCCCACCCCACCAGCATGGGGGCAGGAGCATTTTCCATCACTTCTATCTCCACTTCCAGTCCCTCCACCAGATGGGGAGACGTGCTACTTGTACCTCTAATGGCATGGCATTAAAAAAAAAGTTAAAATAAAAATGTGGCATGTTTTCTTTCCCAGGTGGAATGATATGGGAGTTCATGTGGTTTGGGGGTGTGGGAGGGGATGCATGTGGCTTGGCATGGGGATCCCTGCCGACCATGGGCTGCCTGGAGATCCCACGGCAATGAGAGTTGGGAGCACCAGGTGGCAGTTGGGGGGTTGCAAAGTGCAGGGTGCCTATATGGGCAGGTGGGGGAAGCTGTGCGGTGCAGGCGTAGAATGAGGCATGTGGTGGGATGGAGGGGGGCTGCACGGTCTGAGGGTGCAGTAGGGGTGTGAGGAGAAACTGGGGCTAGAGCAACAGCTGCAGGCATGGGTGGGCATAGAGCATACCTGGAGGGTCCCTTGCAGCAGGCAGACAGTGCTTGACCCTGCTGGCTCAGGGATTACTGGTTTGACGGTGCCCCTGGCTCTAATCAAGTACCAAAAACATCAGCAGGGTCGATTGTTATGTGCTTCCCCCTGCTGTAATTTAATGTGAACAGTACACTAAGCTTAGTTCAATTGAAAGGCTATCACCTGTAAACACTGGCCAGGTCACCTGATTGACCAGCCTGAACCAAGAAGAAATCTGGGAGAGAGAGGGGTCACCTGGGCTAACTCAAGTGAGGGGCAGAGAGGGAAGGGATTTCTTCACGGCACCTCTCAGTGGGAGACCTGCAGGATGCATGTTCAGAGGCATCAGGGTGCAGCCCACATGCCTCTGTCTGAACATGCTCCCCTTGTTTCTACACACTGGAACAGCTCAGGGATCCCACTGGAGGGGAAGGTCTCCCGCCCTGCACTCCTCCCTCCTAGGGGATGCAGTGGTCTGGCTGGACTCGCCCTGCCTGGGACCAGTATCCTGGGGGTTGCAAGGGTCCCTCAGTCAGCTCCACAGCAGTACGTCTCCCCAAGACCATCATTAAGCCAAATGGCTACAATATGAGCAGGAAGGCCTCAGTATTCCCAATAGATTACATTGTGCTGCATTTCACCCACAGAACATCTTCATACTTTCCTCACCCTTCCACAGGAGAGGCAGGACCTGCCACCGGCTGCATCTCCTTCACCCCTGGTACCTAACTGCACACAGAAAAGGGACTCTACTGCCTCCTGCTCAGTGGTTCCTTCAGAAGGGCAGGGACCTTGCTGCACAGTAGAACAGGGGAGTGAGGCCTCGAATCAGAACAATTCCTATTCCCAAGGATTAGAACAAGCTCCAATGGTCTGGAAAGAGAAGGGCTGGGAAGTCACAGAGACATCTGCCCTGGAAAGTGTTGTGGGCCCTTGTCTGTTCCAATTGCACAGCTCAGGAAAGGACAGAGACCAACCACAGGGGTGTCATCTTCAGTTCTGGTGCTATAGTATCAGTGAATGTATTAGAGAGAATAACATGAGGGGAAGGGAGCAGCAGGCACCCAGTGCTGCAGAGTTCTGGAGGGGCTGAAAAGCAAATCAAGCCAGAAAGGCTCAGGGGGTGGTAGTAGCAACTACTTGCAGACCCCACTGGGCATGGGGAGACCTGGGATAGGGATGATATTGTGGTGAGGAAAGGTAAGGTCAGGGTGGAGGGTAGTGAATACTTTCCCAGCCACGAATGTCCTCCTTCCTGCTACTCAAGAGCCTCACACAACATTGGGACCAGGAGTGAAGAGAAAGCTGGGAGGCAAAGGACAATCCCTGGGAGTCATTTGAAGCCAGTTGTCTTGGGCAGAACACCCTATCATGAAGGCACTTCTTCCCCAGGGAGCACTGACTGCTTTTAGAGATTGATGGGAAATGCACAGGATCCAAGGCTGATACAAAAAAATCATTTCCTCCTTATCTCCTCCCCCAACACCTGGGCTGGCCTTGTCTGAGGTATTTCCTCTTAACCCCTCCCCACAATTGAACCTTGGGGGCCAGGCCTCTGGGTTTCTGCTGTGCCCTACAATGGATAAAGCCTGGAGGAACTCCTTCTGCAGTCTGAAGATGCTTGCCAAAATGCAGCCACTGGTGGGTGCTGAGCAGGGAGACAGCACCAAGCCCTTCCTGCACTGCTGGCAGAATTAGGGATGCTTCTGGATGTGGATGCACTGATGCCGGGACAGGTTTCTGGAATGGGTGAAGCTCCTTCCACACTCAGAACAATGAGGTGGCTTCTCCCTTGTGTGGATGTGCTGGTGCTGGGTCAGGTTGGAGGAGTAGGTGAAGCTCTTCCCACACACAGAGCACCCATGTGGCTTCTTCCCTGTGTGGATAAGCTGGTGCTCGGCCACATGGGAAAAGCAGCTGAAGCTCTTCCCACACTCAATGCAGTGATGGGGCTTCTCCTCTGCATGGTAAATGCTTTGGTGCTGGGTCAGGCTGGAGGCATAGCTAAAGCTTTTCCCACACACTAAGCAGTTATGTGGCTTGTGCTCAGCCAGCCTGGAGGACTGGGTGAACCTCTTCCCACATTCAGAGCACTGATGTGGCTTCTCCACTGTGTAGTGGATGCACTGGTGCCACATCAAGCCATTGGATGTGCTGGCGCCGGGCAAGGCAGGAGGGGTAGGTGAAGCTCTTCCCACACGTGGTGCATATGTGGGGCTTCTCCCCAGTGTGCCTTATCTCATGCAGAGCCAGGAGTGAGGGGCAGTTAAAGCTTTTGCTGCACTGAGGGCAGGGGTGGGCTCTCCCCCTGGGCTTGGTGGTGAGCTCCAGGTTCCCTCCAAGGCCATCCCCACTGCCTTCCACCAAAGAGAGAGACTGCATGCAAAGGACCTTTTCTTTATGCCTCTTCAGGTCTCTCAGCATCAGAAAATCTTCCCTGAACCCAGGTCTTTTTCTGGCTTCTTTCCCTTCTTCATTCTCACAAGCAACTGGAGATGGGACCTGGTCCACTGCTACATTCTCCTTCCACTTTTGGGGCTTCTCCTGACCCTTGTGCCATTGGTGCTTCACAGGGCTCAGGGAGTCCATCTCACCCAAACCCCCTTGGGAAGCCCATGGTGGCTCCAGATTTGCAAGCCCTTCCTTAGGAGCCTGCTCCTCAGCTCTGCTCACCAGCCAGGCACCTCCTGCATGGGGAAGATAAACTCTAGATTAGTCCCTGTCATTCTGGAAAAGGGCAAACACTGCTATTCCTTCTGCTGGGATGGGCCTCCAAGCAGGACTAGACCTTGGCGCTTCGGTTTCTTTAAGAAAACAAGTTCTTCCTGCCAAAACCCCAAGTGCTGGGGGTGCGGCAGTGCCAGGTCCCTGTGCCAGGCTCATCTTATAGTTTCCTAGTTGGTAGAATCGGAAGGGACCTGAGCAGATCATCAAGTCCAACCCCCTGCCATGGCAGGAAAGAGTACTGGGGTCAAGCAACCCCAGCAAGGTGTCTATCTAGCCTCCTTTTGAAGATCCCTAGGGTAGGAGCCAGCACCACTTCCCTTGGAAGTTGGTTCCCTACTTGGCACGGTTCTGAGCCAGACTCTCAAGGTTTCTGGCCCAGCTCTTAGCCCTATCACTTCAGGCCCTGCTGAAAGAAACACATGGGCCATGTACACTTGCACAGTATCTGAATGGCTTCATCTTGTACTAGGCTGAAGTTGAAACCAGAATGATCTACTAAAAGGAAAACTGAGGCTCTTGAACGGCTTCTCTTTCCCACCACAGTAGTGAGTCCAGCGGGAGATTATGCTGGGCAGAGGTGTACTGCTAAAGATTTTTTGGGCCAGTATGGATGGTCCATTATTAATGAGCCATATAGGCTGAGACGGACCCGATTGCCGACATGCAAGCCTGGAAGCTTTGAGAGCAATGTCTGGCTGGTAAGTCTGTGGGGGGTAGGGGGTGGGAGGGGCATACTGAGGTCCCCATGTTGAGGGAGGGAGTGGGGCTGGTGCAGATGCTGCCCAGATGGGGCCGGAGCCCCAAGCAGCTGGTTCAGGGGTCATGGGGTGCGTGTCTCCCACCATAGTGCACACCCCTGGGAGAGGCATGGAGGGCACATGCCACCCCGATTTGTGCGCAGGGCAAGGGTGGACTGAGGCTGGGGTCAGGTCTGTGCTTTTCCCAGTGGGTATTTTGGCCAAAGGCTGCACTCAGGGCGGGCAGCAGAAGTGTTGGGAGGGGGGCCTACAGCAAATTTTGGGGTGGCTGCAGCCCCTGCTTCAGCTCTGCCACCTGCACCAAGTGCAGCCCCTGCCCAGCCCCACTGAAGCCCTGCACCAAACACCCACCGGGAACAGCCCAGCACCGCCCCAGCCCCAGCATGAAGTGGGAACCCACTCTCGCCCCCACACAGGTCCGGGGGACATGTGCTCCCATGCCCCGTCAGGGTGGCGTGCTGCAGCAACAGCCCCACCCCCACCCTGCCTACACAAGACACTCAGGGCTCTCTCCCTTGTCCCACCCCCCTCATTCTGGCTGGGCAGCGCCTGCCCCTACCCCAGCTCCACTCCCTCCCTGGCCACAGGGGCTTCGATATGCCCTCTCCATACTCCTTCACCCTCCTCAAAAGAGTTACCAGCCTGATGCTCCTCTCCAAGCTGCCAGGCTGGCCACATGCATGCTGTGGCTGCGTGCATGCACACGGCATTTATCAACAACATTATCAGCCACATTGGACAAAAAAAGCAGATTATGTTTCCTTTTATCAGTGCCAATACAATATGGACCAATGTATCGGTGCATCACTAATGCCAAACCCTCCCTGTGACTGGACTGACACACTCCAGAAGCCCCTGTGCTTTGGTGAGACTCTTCTCCAGTGCTTGCCCTTGATCTCTGGCAGTCCTGAGAGCGGCACCTGGGTACAAGGATGAACAGCTTCAGGGTTGATTTCTGGGGCTTGTCAGCCATCAGGAGTGTGCAGGGAGCACTGCCTTACACTGCACAGAAAAGTGCTGCTTCTGCTTAGTAAGAAAAGCCAACATGTTTCATCCCACAACCCTCCAAGAAATGTTCTGGAAGCAGAGGATTCAGCGCTGTGGTCTCCCTTCTGGAAGGAGCAGTACAATGCTTCCTACCTGTTTTTAGGGCAATGTCTGGTGCAGGGAATGAGCCCACGGAGATTTCCTCTGCTGATGGGTCCCAGGAAGCCTCCACATCACAGGAATCTGCACTGGGAAAAAGGCCTTGGTATGAACCTTCACATGGACTTTGGGCTGAGCCTCAGGCTTTGTGACATTCTGGGCCTAAGAGTGGAAACAGAATTGGGGAAATTCTGGTGCAAACGATGGGGTATTCCCTTCCTGTCACAACGTGAAAAATTCTGAATCCCACTAACTCCATGGAGCCACTTCATGCAGCCTGAGACCAGGATTAGACACTTATAGATTCATAGACTGTAGAGTCGGAAGGGACCACAATGGATCATCGTGTCCGACCCCCTGCCCCTGGCAGGAAAGAGGACCGAGGTCAGATGACCCCAGCCAGGTGACTATCTAGTCTCCTCTTGAAGACCTCCAAGCTAGGTGATAGCACTGCCTCTCTTGGTAGCCCATTCCAGATCCTGGCCACCCTTACTGTGAAAAATTTCTTCCTAATATCTAACCTAAATCCACCCTCAACTAGTTTACACCTGTTATTCCTAGTCACTCCCTGGGGTGCCTTAGTAAGCAGCGCTTCCCTTATTCCCCGTTGACCTCCCCTAATAAGTTTATAGGCGGGATTTATGGGTGGGGAACTTCCTGGGTTCCAGGTCACCCAGACCAGGAGACACCAGGGACAGCCCCAGCCTCTCTCTTGTCCAACAAGAATGGCTACAGAGCTTCTGCCAACCAAGCTTCTTGGCATGGGGGAAATCCCATCATGCCCTGGGAGAGTGTTAGAAACGTATGGCTACCTTGGGTTATGGAATCAAATCTTACACTGTTGACTGAAGATGAAAACCTAAGATCACTGTGCCCCAGGGAAACCAGATCTGAGCCTAAAATGGAAGACAGCAAGCTCTATTGTGCCCTAACAGCTGTGGTCAGGGGTAGAACAGTGAGACAGGTACTTGTCTCCACAGCATTGAATTTCAGGGAGTGGAACAACACCTTCCTGGACACATGACAGCATAAGTTATTTGAGGTCAGCACCCTGGGATGGCAGCACGGGGCAGCTCTGCAGTTTCCAGGCTCCCTTTCACCCTGGGCATGGAGCATTTGTGAGAGGGGAGTTGGGTGGAGGGGACAGCCACAACTCACCTGGCAGCAGGTCCTCCAACCTTGTGATTTCCCCTTGGTCTTCATCATCACAGACCCAGAGCTGCACCTGTCCTCACTGGATGCAGCCGATTAAGTCAGGTGTGGGACCTCGATATCCTGTTTGGGACAGTGGTTAAAGAGTGATTCTGACTGGGTACTGGATACAGAATAACCAACTGGGATTTGGGGAAGGGATCCACTGAATTCAAAATTTCTACTCAGGGCTTGATGGCAAAAGGACAGTGGGGATTTAAGGATGAAAGAGAAGGCAAAGCAGGGAGAAGCCTTCAGTAGATGTTGGTCCTTGTCATGCAGGTAGTGGATGTATGGTCATAGGAAACAAAGCACCAACCACTCTGAGGTGTACAAAGCGTATGACACTAAGGGTCCCCAGGGAAAGGGGTGGAGATACATTCAATAATGTACTAGAAAGCAGGAAGATAAAGCTTTAGCTATTTCCTAGGTACCAACATGGGGGACTGTAACAGGTCGCCCTCCCCAGCACCATCTTCCTGGTCATTTGCGCCCTCTGTGTGGGGTGCCCTTGGAGCCCTCTTGGAATCCTTCTGTCCCACCCTAATCTCTCCTGCCACGTCTTGATGGAAAATTATTATGCGAGCGGGAGACTGCCTATTATACTGGGTATGTTGGGGTCTCTCCTAGGATGGCCAAACCCCTTTTTCCTCTAGCTAGGCCTCCCTGTCAAAACCCACCAACCAGGGTTCGACTCTGAGGCTCTAGCTTTTCCTTCCAGTGCCTGGAGGCTCGTGGCCCCCTTTCCTGTTCCCTTCTAGAGCATGGCACTCCCCAGCCCAGAGGCACGGGTGCTGGCCCCACAGCAAGGGAGCTGCAAGTTCAAAACCAGGGCATGACACCACCAGTCCAAACAAAAACAAAAATATACCCGCACCCCCAGATGCACCAGGCCTCTCCGGCCTTTTACTATCATCCAACAAGTACCAGGGTTTGTGTCACCCCATACTGTGCCCTTACTGGCACTCGGGCTCTCTGCAGCCCTGTCTCACTCTGCGCTTCACTGGTGCCGGGGCTGTGCCCCTCAAAAAGCTGTGTCCATGCTAGCGCCGGGGTCTGTGCCCCAAAAGCTGTGCCCTCACTGGCGCCGGGGTCTGTGCCCACAAAAGCTGCATCCTCACTAGCGCCAGGGTCTGTGCCCCAAAAACTGCGCCCTCACTGGTGCTAGGGCTCCTACTCTGGAGTGGGTCCCCAAAAATGAGGCCTCCTCCATCCCCTAATAGCCTTGCCCAAACCTCCGGTCCTTAAACAGCAACAAAACACAAGCCCCTGGGCTGTAACATAAATTCAAGCTGCTCGGCTAAAACATCATTCAAGCCTACCGGGGAATACTTCATCCCTCAGCAGCGTCAGAAGCCGCTCCTGCAGTCAGGCCTCTCCTCTCTTCTCTGGGAGACCTCCTTTTCCCCTTGGCTGCTGGCAAGGAACTGCCTGCCTGGCCTCAGGCCTGGGGATTAAATGTGAGCCAGGCCCTGCCCTTTCCGGTCAGCTGACCGCTGGCAAGTGTGGGTCTCTAGCTCACTCTGGTTGCCCCTAGCAACCTGCACCTGGGTAATTATGTCTGCTTTACGAGTAGCAGGTGCCTTAGTGCCCTGCTACAGGGACATATGTAGGGATGGATAATGTGTATGTTATCAGTGTATTTCCAGGCAAAGGAGTGGAAATGAGCTGCTCCTCAGTGAAGGTTTAAAGTGAGGACTCCTGGCAATGAACAGAATCCATGGCAGATAGCTGGTAATGAACCTTTTCTGGGAGAGAGGGTAATTCCCCATCACCAGGGCACAGGACAGAATTATTTCATAATAACTCTAATTGCAACTAAAGCAACTGTCCCATCCAATGGGAGGATGATCCCAGGGCAGAGATGAATGCACAGGTTGGTAGGTACTGCATTCAAAACCAATAAACTGCAGTGACTGGAAATAGAGATAACCACAGTGACAGTGTCATATCTTGTGAGAGCCTAGTGCTCCAAAACAGCATGCTGCTTCTGGACTTTGGGCTACTCAAATATTTGAGAGAGATAGAGATCTGGGGGAGACATTAAATGGTAAAAATTAGCTTGCAAAGGAATCCCTGAACTGTTGTAGTAAAGTCAGCCAACGGTCATCTTGTAATAATAAAGAGCTTGATGCAGATACAGTTAGGGGTGCAGGGAAGGAGTCTGCACTTTTAGCTGCTTATGTACTACTAGGTGAAACACACCAGATCGGGAAATCCAGGTGGCCAACCTTATGGAGAATTATCTAGGTTTCATGAGGTATTGAAGGAAAAAGAAGTCCTCAAGAAGTGACAGAGCTGGATTTGAACCATATTTTATGCAGAAAAGACAAGAGCTGTATAAAGGGGAGCCATCAGAGAAGTAGCACTGCATTACTTGCATGACGACCTGAATCATATTGTGAATGAGCAAAGAATTGCTGATCTGGCAAAAATCTACCATGCATAGACAAATGACTCAGATACTTAAGTCACTGCTGTTAGTACTAGAGAAGAGGATTAACACATGGTCTGAAACAGGTCTCTCATGCCAGAAAGGTATATTTTGATAAGTGACTAAAAGGAGAATGACCCAAAGAGCATTTCCATCCATTGACACTGTAAACTCAAGTCGGATTTCCACGGGACAGTGCAGAGTAAATTAGGGGAGTAGTAATTAACTGGAAAAAACTAAACAACAAAATCAGTATACCTAGCCTGTGGAAGATCCTGAAACATTAGGAGGATAACAGGATGGGAATTACTTTAGTTCATCTAGAAAATGAACAGGATGAAGAGACTGGGGTGAAAGGTGACTAATATAATATCACATCTCTTGTTGAGACAGAGGTGGGGGTGGGTAATAAATGCCAATGTTTCAATGACTGGAGAACAGTGACTTAGTCGTATCCACTCCTTGGAAGAGGTAAGGAAAACGTTAGTGCAGCCAGAATCAAGAAGACCACCAATATGAGTGATAACAAGCAGGTTCTTAGAAGAGGGCAAAAATCCTCTAACATTTTCAAGATAATTGCAGAAAAAAACCCAAAAATCTCTTTGGTCTGTGCTTAGCTAGAAAAAGCATTTGCACACTTCCCTAAGAAAATCCTCTGGAGGAAACAGGGAAAAGAAAGCACCAGGGAAGCAAACTGACCCAGGAAAAGGTAAGTTCCTCAACCCTGCACACAAGCCCCAACAAGCCCCTCTATTACAGATATTCTGGAAATGAAAACTGGTTTTCACTGCTCCCTGCACCAAGACCAATTCTTTTTCTAATAGTGATGGGTGTCTGGCATGCAGGAGAACTACAGGAGGAGGACAAGAAAACTTGTGAGAATGGGAGAATAAGCTTGACCAGCTGTTAGTGAATTTGTAGGCACAGTGAATTGGAGATGATATGAACATGCTGAGAACTCAAAGAGATCGTTCACCACAAAAGTGCTGAATATGTGAGCATCAGGAGCTACAGGAATGGGGAAGACTCCAGGGAAGGTGGCTGGATAAGGGGAAGGAGGAGATTTCAGCATGAAATGCCAGAGAGGTCGGATCACTGACAGAGCAGTAGGGAGGAAGAGGATTTAAACCACCTGCCAAAAGTTCATGAGGATGAGACTGTTGAAGAACAGGGAGAAGATGACAACACTTCAGAGCTCACATGGCTCCAGGGAGAGGCAAGAACCAGAGCTTTACCCAGGGAAACGAGGGCTTGGTAGTTCCTCAGCATCTGGTCCCAGTAAAGCATTCATCTTCCAGCAGGTCCCACTCCTCCCCCATGAAATACACAGCCACATCTTTAAAGACCTCTGAGAGCAGCAGTCACAAGCGTTACAGCATCACTGTCTCCTGCCCCAGCTGTCTCCAGCCCCCACGGCCCTGTCTGCACTCACTCTGCACTACAGCGCTTTGCAGCTTAGCCATGGATGCAGCTGTGGACATAGGCGCTTGTGTGTCAGCCTCAGCCCAGCTCAACATGCTCTGTTTCCTCAGCCCTTGGAGACAGCCCGGGCAGCACATTTAGAGGCAGGGAGCCCAGCTCCAGGGACTCTGACCAGGACTTCCCGTGCCAGCACCCCTGGCTCTCTGCACCCCAGAGCACACTAATGCAACTTGGGGTGCTTGCAACTCCATCACTACAGGCTTCTCACTCATCAGGTCTCTCTGCTCCTCAAACTTCTTACAGCACCCCTGGCTCCTCCTGGGCTTTGTCCCAGCTGCACCCCCACCCCCACCTGGAGCCGGTGCCCAGCTCACCTCCATGCTTTCCCCTTGTTTTGCAGGCCTGCCCTGCCCCATCTGCAGCTGGCCGGGCCCAGGTGTCAGGGAGCCGCTCTGTCCCCAACTCCCTGGGGAGGGTCTCTGCAGCTCCAGGTTTACAGGCCCTTCCTTGGGAGCCTGCTGATCCGCTCTGCTCAGGGTCCCAGCACCTGCAGGTGGGAAGAAAGTGTGTTGACCTATGGGGTCAGGTCAACTCTCAGGATCTCAATATTGCGCTGTTAGACAGGAAGGTGTGACACAATTGCATATATACAAACACACAAATCAATTAGGTGCATACAGACACACACTACCAACTCAGGAACATACACATCCAAACTAGCTTAGGCACATGCATACCTATCACCAATTCAAGCACATACACTATACACTCCAGTTAGACAAAAATCAACTGTCCATACCCGCACTCAGTACACATACACAGATCACTAATTCATATATCATGCACACAATGACATTATACACACACACACACACACACACACACACACACACCCCTACACATACACACAGGTATGTTCCTAACTTGGATGGTATGGTATGTGTGTGTATGTTTGGAGTACTTGGGACACCTGAGGAAAGGTTAAGGTGAGAGAGAAAGTGTAAGGAGTGAAAGTTGCTGGAACAAGGATTAGAGAGAAGCTGGCTGAGGAACTGAGGCTTGGGGTTACTTAAGGTCAACTGGCCCCGCGGTTACTCAGGGTCACCTGGTGTCAGAGTGGAAGCAAGGGAAAAAGAAGCCTGCTGGCAAGGAGGAAACAGCCAGGAGACAGAGGCAAAAGGCAGTGGGGATAAGACAAAAACAGTGACAGAGATCAGGGAAAATGCAAGGGGGACGAGACAAAAACAGTGGCAGAGATCAGGGAAAAAGACAGGGGGGATGAGAGAAAAACAGTGGCAGAGATCAGGGAAAAAGGCAGTGGGGATGAGACAGAAGTTAGAGGAGCAGAGATTGGAGCAGGGCCGGAACTGTAGTAAAGCAAAACCTAACTCAGGGGGGTCCAAATAACAGGTTTATTAGACAATACACTACACAGCCCCATGAAGTTATTGGTTTAAACACACACACACACACACTGGCAGCAGGAGAAAGAGACTCAGTAGAAGGGTTAGAGTCCAGGTAGGGAAGAGAAGCAGAATTCAAGTCCTTGGTTGAAGATGGGGTTGGGGGTGATAGCTACCTATCCAGGCTGGAAATGGGCCCTTGTCCAGCAGGTGTTGTTCAGAAGGGGGTTGTTGGCAGGGCCTCAGGGTAGATAGGTGGTGTGGTGTGGTACTGATCCAGATGGAGAGGGAGTCCCAAGGAGTCCATCAGTCTTCACTCCCCGTTTTTATGGGACAGACTACCTCTGATCACCTATGAGGAGGGCCTGTTCAGGCAATGTCAGTCCTGTCCCAGAGGGCTCCAGGTAGTCTTACTGAGCATGTGCAGCCTTGGCACAATGGTGGTTGCCTCATCTTTTGTGTCTTGAATGCTGAGGGTGGTTCCAAGGGCTGGGTTGTTGGTGCGGGTATTGGTATTGATGGTTCGCTTATTCAGAAGGAGCTATTTTTAGACCTACTGCCATTGTCTCTCAAGCACCCGCATTCATTCCCATTCATTTAGGAACCAAGTTACATAGGAGGGGTAGTATGATTCATAGGTTACACAACCAGGTCTGGGGACAGGATAGAGACTTGACAAACAAAATGGAAACTTGACATGGCTTACGCTAATTTACATATATACGTCTAAAACAGTAATCACATGATATAAATGCAGTAAAAAAAAAACAATACAAACATAATAATTATCACTTATAAAACAGTGGATATCTATATCAAAATAGCAGGGCACTTATTTGCAAAGAGGGGAGAGAAAAATAAAACTTACTACCTAAAATAAAATGTTAAAGCATAGCTTACTTATGCTTATCTATAGGGAACAGAGAGTCAGAAATGGTTGGGGAAGGGGAGGGAATGCATTTTAAAAGAAAAAAAAAAGAAAAACTGGGGGTTTTGCTACAAGTGCACAGGTTACCTGTGGGGTAGTGGCAGGGAAAAGCCTTGCTCGTCTCCTGGACTGGTTTGGGATGAAGGCAGCTGGAGACTGCAGTGTGGAAGATGGGGGATAAGGGAGACTCATTGTCCAACAGCTCTTGCTAACAGACCTCTACAGGCACCCAGCTGGACATGAGCCCCAAGACCTGTCCCAGCATCGGTGGTGATCATAGCACCGTGTCAGAGCCGGCAGGGACATCACTCCTGGGGAAGAAGCTGGAGCGATGTTGGTGCTGTGTCACATCCACATTTTCAGGGGGAAAGAGGGGAAATGCACAGTACAGTCATGTGAAATGCTTCCAGGGGCACAGGGGGAACAAGAGCCGCCGACTTGCTGCAGCACAGCTCCACAAACTGTTCTGGCAGAGAGATTTCTGCACTGAGGGACGGAGCCTCCTGCCTCTAGAAAGGGGAGACCCACCGCTGGAAGTCACTGAGGAATCTCATTTCCCCATCACCTGCACCAGCCTCAGCTGAACGGTGACAAGGAGGCCTGCACCAGCCTCTTATTGATTGATATTATTAAAACACTGATCATTAGAACAAGAATTAGATCACAGATTGTTACTATTGATGTAATCTTTTTTATGTAATCTTTTTTATGGTATATCTAGCTTTCACAAACTATATCTAACTGAATACTTAAGGCAACTTGCAGATGCTGGGAGGGGTGTGGTACGTGTGTGTTAAGAGATGCTTGCAGATCACAGCGTGTGGGATGCGGAGGATTCCTGGAATGCCTCCCTAACACCAGCAGGATAATGTCTCCCTGACAAGATGGCAAGAAGTTCAGAAAAAGGTCTCATTATAATGCTAAAAATCACACCCCTGGGCAGGGCAAAAGTATGTTAATGAAACATATATGTATGCAAATGAATTACATGGCTAAAACATAGGTATAGAGACATGCTCAGTAGAGAACGTCTTATGTCAGTGGCTTGTAACCAATCACTGAGCGATACACTTGCAAACATATGTATAAAAGGTACCCAAAGGTAGAAACCGGTGGTGCTTGCTTTGCAAACGATTGCCAAGCACCCCTCTCTGCGCAGACTGGAAACAATAAAGATTAAGTTGGATCCTCCACCCCTGTGTGTTCATTGGCAATAGCGCACCGGGCACAAACTCACACTGTCTGTTGGGGACAACACTATGGCAGCATGATGAGGCCCAACAGCCATAAAGCATCTTTCTGTGGGGAGCTGATCTATACCCACTAGCCAATAGTAATAAGATGGGGTTGGGGGTAACTGATGCTCTTTGGGTGTTGAGCCCATGTTAACCATATACATCAAAAAGGCTGGTAAGGACCTGACTCCTGGTGTGTCGGGGGCTCATCATGGAGGACATGAAGCAGCTTGTCCTTGGGCCCTGGGGTTTCCTGCTCTCCTGCCTCCTCCAGAGGCCTGTCCTCACCATGGGCCTTTGGCTGCTGCACCCAGGAATCACCAGGCTCTGGCAGGGCCTCAGGAAGCTGCATCTCATCTGAGGGACACCTCCTCGACCTTCACACACACTGTGACCTGGGGACAAGATAAATGTGTCACTGAGGAGCAGGGTTCTGGGAGGGAACATCCCCCAGACATGTGGAGGTGCAGATGGCACCAAACAAAGACTCTCACCTGGAGCTTCTCATTCTCCGCCTGCCCCAGCTGAAACCCCTCAGCCAGGGCCATGGCCTGGGCGCAGGTCTCCACGTGGCACCCGCACACACAGCTCTGCATCTCCTGGGGCAGGATGGCCAGGAACTGCTCCAGCACCACCAGCTCCAGGATCTGCTCCTTGCTGCGGCGTTGGGGCTCCAGCCAGCGCTGGCACAGCTCCCGCAGGCGGCTGCAAATCTTCCCTGGGCCCTCGGCTTCCTGGTAGTGCAGGCCACGGAAGAGCTGGTGCCAGGGCTCTGGGGTGGGGAGCTCATCCCGCGGTGCCAGCTGTGGGGTCGCGGAGGGCAGCTCGGCCTCACAAGGGGGCTGCATGGTCTACATCGCGTCCTGCCCCTAGAGCTCTTGGTGCTGGATTGGCTCCGATCTGGATGACACGAGGGACTTCTGCACCCTCAGCCCCTGCCTGCACACCTCCTGGGTCCTGCTCCTCCAGCTCCCGCCGTGAAGGGAAGGCCCACAGCCACGTCTCCCCTTGAAGGGATCTCACCCAGCAGGGGGCCTGGGCTCTCGCTGTCCCCGCACTCATGCACGGCACCTGTTGGCAGTGTCCAGCATGCAGGGCCGCTTGCAGGAAAAGCGACAGCACCAGTCAGACCATGGATCAGAGACCTGGTACCAGGGCTCCAATGCCCCTGACTTCCCCCACTCCCAGCAGTCTCCGAGTCATCCTCACTTCCCCCCAGCCCTAGCACCAGCTCCTGGGACTTAACTAGCTGCAGAAAGGTGCAAGCCCAGCTCCCTGCCATGTCCCTGCAGGGTGGGTGACCACCCGTCCTTAACCGGGTGGGACAGTCGCTGAGTGGGGACCTCAAGCCCTGTCCCAGGATGCATTAGCCTGATGCAACATTTCTCCTGGACTTTCAGGGTCTGGAGGGGGCGGGGACCCACGGGTGGGCAGCGGCCCGGCCGGCAAGGAGATGCCGTGGGCAGGATGTGGGGGCACCAGGGCACACGCAGGATGCCAAGCAGCGTGGAAAGCAGCTCCCTGCTGCAGGTAAGTGCCCCTCATGTGCCCACCTCGCTCGTGGCTTCCCAGGTGGGCGGGGCCTCCTGGCCCTTCCCAGGGTGCTTTGTAGCCGTGGAGGGGTGAGGTCACGCTTCCTCCCCACTGCTGCAAATGGCAGAGCGGTCCACTCATGTCACATTTGCATATGCAAATTTTCCCCATGCGATGATTGGAGAAACAGGCAGAGCCCCTCCCTGCCGGTGCCTGGGTCTCCGCTGGGCATTGTGGGCATCGTGGGGACACTGCCAGCCTGCTGGGGCTCCCACTGCTGCCCTGTGGGGCTGGGCCCAGTGCTTCCCTTCCCAGCTCCTGCCTGTCCTCCTGCCCGCCCCACCCCACCCCACCCCACAACGGGATGCTCTGTCCCGCCACCACGATCCTCCCTCGACAGGGCCTTGAGCCTGCCTGCTCCTGCCAGCGGGGCCACCTGCACCTCCCACTGGGACCCCCCCATGCAGCTGGCCGGGCTTTAGGGAGCTGGTGCCAGCTGCGAGTGTTGTGGGAGAAAACTCCCTGGAGTTCGTTGTTTAGCTGCATAGGGACTAGACAACACGGGTAAAGTTTTACTGCAGTATATTTGCTTGAGTAATGACTATTAAGCTAGCAAAGAGGCAAAATGGCCCCCCCTAAAGGGTGGGGCGTTCTTTTATACTTTTGACAACAAGGCAAGACTACAGGCTTAATAAAAGCAATACTTGGGCAGTACTTTACAGATCTTCATAATAGCATATTTTTATTAAGCTGAACTAGCACTTTTTAAAAGTTAAAAGTTAAGTAACAGTAACATTATGATACGTTAGCAAGAACTTTCACAGTGGTAGATACTTTTTAAGGACACGATCACTGTACTTAGAACAATGGCTTCTTTGTCTTATCTTGTTTCTTGCTGTAGCTGATTTTACAGCACACAGACACAGATTCACTTGCTGCATTTTACTCGGAAAATTATTAACACAGTTACAATGATTACTTAACATAAGCAAAGGCTTAGCTATCATTCTGCCTTGTGGTCAGCAACATTGCTAGGCCACAGGTTATGCCTTGTATTCAGCTGTAAAGCTAATACTTTTTAATAATCTAAATTATTGTTAACTTAACAGTATGCTATTAGGAAACTATTTTATTTCAGGGTAATAACAAACATGCTTACCACACGGGGCACGGCTGCTTGCAGTGGGTGTGCAGCCATCTGCTGGGAGCAGCCCAGGCTCCAGAGCCTGGATCTGCCATGGCGTGCCATGCCAGGGGTCACTGCTCCCTGTACCAAGACATCATGATGATATGAGGCCTTCTTGATGTTCACAAAGGCGTCACTCCTCACAGGATCCTTGTCACAGCCTCTCACACGCTCCCTGCTTGCATTCAACAATTCTGCCCAGTGAGAAATGAACTCTTGATAATAATTAGCCAGATGCAGGAAGGATCTCATTTGCTCTTTGGTTTTGAGTGGTGTAAAGTCTCCTATAGCCTGGATTTTGACTGCCAAAGGCTTGATGGTCCCATGCCCCGCTAGGAATCCCAGGTACTTTGATTCCCGTCTTCCTACTGCACTTTTTTTTGGATTGGCCGCCACCCCAATCTCCCTCACTTCTTTAAGTACAACCGTCAGTACTCTCAGATGCTGATCCCAAGTTCTGGTGCATATGACAATATCGTCTATGTATGCTGATGCGTACCTCGCATCTAAGGCCAAAGCTTGGTTCATCGGTCTTTGGAAAGGGGCGGCTGCCCCGTGCAGCCTGAAGGGCATTCTACAAAATTCATATAGGCCCCATGGGGTCCCACAAACAGTTTTGGCATGGTCTTTTGTGGCCGTGGGTATTTGCCAGTACTCTTGAGACAGGTCAAGTGTCATTATGTAGCGGGCCTGTCCTATACTTTCTAAAAGCTGAGGCATGGGGAAGGCATCGAAAGTGGCTACAGCATTTACCCCTCTGAAATCTACACTGAGATGTAAGGTCCCGTCAGGCTTTGCCACAGACCCCGTGAGGGGACTGTTATCCCTTGTCCAAGCATCTTTCAGAGCTCCTGATGTATGGGGCCATATAAATGGTCGGGAACAGGACGCCACCGCTCTCACACCACTCTTTTAGGCAGGGTGTGGAGCCGGTGCTTCACCCCGTGACCCACCCACATTCCTCTCGAAAGACATTGCGGAAGGCACATGTTACCCGAACCAAGTCTCCTCTCTGAGTAGCTGTCAGGTGCTCTTCAATTTGTACTCTTTCCTCCCTGGGTGTTTCCCTAATGTCCTTGCTTATTTCAGGGCCAAATTCTGCACTTTCTAGTTCAGCCTCAGTCAACCACCCCTTGGCCTTCTTCCAGCTTTTAACAAGTTTACATGGAAAATCTGTCACTCCCATTGATGCCCAGCTAGAATACCTTGTGATCCACCAGCCCGGCGCACCTTCTTATTTCCAAGGGGCCTTGCCACTTCGCCAGCAGGTTACTGGCCACGGTGGGTAATAGGACTGATACCCTGTGGTTAACCTGGAGCTCTCTCCTCAGCCACTCTGTCATGATGCCTCTTTGGTTTCTGTTGGGCCTCCCTCAAATTTTACAGAGCCACCTGCCTCGTGGGCAGCAAACAGGCCCTCAGAGCTTCACAATGAGCCTCAGCTCTTGTTGGGCTCGATGTGGGTTGTTTCCACCCTTCCTTAAGAACTGCTAATAGGTCCCTGCACCTGCGTCCATAAACCAGCTCAAAGGGAGACTATTTTGTGGATGCCCATGGTATGGCCCTCAGGGTAAACAATAACTGGGTGATCAACAAGTCCCACTTTCAGGGGTCCTCCTGAGTGCACCTACAGAGCATCCCTTTTAGTGTCATAGATTTCATAGATTTCATAGACATCAGGGCTGGAAGGGACCTCGGAAGATCATCGAGTCCAGCCCCCTGCCCAAAGGGCAGGAAGTCAGCTGGGGTCATAGGATCCCAGCAAGATGAGCATCCAGTTTCATCTTGAAGGTGTTCAATGAAGGCGCTTGAACCACCTCCGGTGGCAGGCTGTTCCAGACCTTGGGGGCTCGGACAGTAAAGAAGTTCTTCCTTATGTCCAGCCTGAAACGATCTTGAAGTAGTCTGTGACCATTCGACCTCGTCATCCCTTGGGGCGCTCTGGTGAACAAACGTTCCCCCAGATGCTGGTGGTCAGCATGGGGCCCAGGGGGTTCAAGCTTCTTCGCAGTTTTGTGGTTAGTGTCTTCTCATCCACTTCTGGGTGTTCTCCTCTAAATCACTAAGGAATGACCTCACATGTCATGGGATACTGGTGACAGATGGGACCCTCCATTCCTCTCAGGATGGAGTCGCCTATGATGAGCACCCGGCATCTCTTCTTCTGGGTCAACTTGCCTCCTTCAGCCTGTTCTGTGCATGGAGTGGCCTCCTCTCCAGAGGATTCCTTGTGTCGCACAGAGGGGGAGGATCATCTCCTTGGACCAGCTCGTGATGCATCTGCGGGTGCATGACAAGGTGCAGTTAGCCTTCCTGACTGCATCCTCACATTGGTGGCCCACATTCATCTTGGAGTCTATAATGACTTCAAGATCCTTTTCTGTCTCTGTGCTGATGAGAAGGGAATTCCCCAACCTGTAGGTATGCTGCTGGTTCTTCCTCCCCAGGTGCAACACCTTGCACGTCTCAGTATTGAAACCCATCCTGTTCTCATCTGGCCACCCCTGTAACCTGTTCAGATCTAATTGCAGTCTGTCCCTCCCTTCCAGCATGCCCACTTCCCCCCACATCTTAGTGTCATCTGCGAATTTGAACAAGGTGCTTTCCACCCCCTCATCCAAGTCGCTGATGAAGATGTTGAACAGTGCGGGCCCAAGGACTGAGCCCTGGGGAACCCCACTGCCCACATCCCCAGTTTTCAACAAAGGGAGGAAGAAGGGCCCAGGTAACTATAGGCCTGTAAGCCTCCCCTTGGTGCTTGGGAAGATCTTGGAGAGAATCATCAAGGAGCATATCTGTGGGGGGCCAGCAGGGGAGATCATGCTCAGGGGCAACCAGCATGGGTTCATCAAAGGCAGGTCCTGCTTGACCAACCTGATTGCCTTTTATGACCAAGTAGCTAAATCCTTGGATGATGCTGTTGTCATGGACGTAGTCTTTCTAGACTTTAAGAAAACCTTTGACACAGCTGTCGTCTGATTTGGTATCAAGTGAACTTTTAATAGTAGTCCCTAAGCTTATTACAAGTATTATTGCAATGAGACCTGGCAAGCGGTTCCTTCAGGTGTTACATCAGCGACCTTTGGTGGTACCAGCCTCAGATCCTCTGGAAATAAACTTCTTTTTTGCACAGAGGGAATGAGGATGACAGTCTGGACCCTCTGGGTCCATGCAAGTGTGCAAAAATGGTAGGCCTCTGCCCTAGTTCCTGTTTAACCGTGCACTGAACATGATCCCTTGCTCATGGCCACATTCTCCCTCCGCTGCTGGCACCTGCCCTGCCTCTTCTGGTATCGGCCCTGCTCCAGCCTGGGGAAAACCCACTTCCCTGATCTCCAGGGCTGCAGGCCCTTCCTCTGGAGGCTGTTTCATAGATTTCCTAGACATTAGGGCTGGGAGGGACCTTGGAAGATCATCGAGTCCAACCCCTTGCCCCAGTTCCTCGGCTCGGCTCAGCACCCCGGCACCTGCTGGGCAAGGGGGAGTTGGACAGCAAGGACAGGGCTCGAGGAAGGCAGCGTGAGCATTTCCTCACCCACCTGAGGTTGCTGATGTGCTCCACACTCAGGACTGCACCATTGAGGATGCACTAGTCCCCTGTGGCATTTTTACATATGGGTGTACTGCTGCACTGGGTGGTTTTTAAAGCGCCCGGTACTGCGACGTTTGCAGGTGTACAAGCAAGTAAATGATTGTCAGTGCTGAGAAAAGAGCGGCAGTGCGTTTGAACTAAAACACATGGAAAGTGCTTTAGTTCACACGAACACCGCCGGCATGTTCTATGTGCTGATGTGCACCTCACTGCTTATACAACTGCACACGGTGCAGCACAGTTCACATCAGTTGGTGCACGAATTAAGGGAATAAATGCTGGTTGTGCTCTATCCTGAGCTCTCAGTCTCTGGCAGACCTAAGAGCAGCTTAGAGACAAGCATGAAGCTGTCTCGCTGGCCCAGTTCTGCTCTGGACTCTTTCATCACTCTTCGGTGGGTGTGTGGGGGTTGCTCACAACCCTGCTCCGTAGGAGCTCTGCAGGGGTGCAGCAGGTAAAAGGAAAAGGCAAATCGCTCCCCACTGGCCTCTGAAACAAGGCTCCGGGAGAGTGGTGGAGGGTCGGCCGCTGAGGAGCCCGGCCTGAAACGAGCTCACAGGATCTCTCTGCTGCGGATGGAGCAGAGCTCATCTCCCGCCTGCTCGCCGGGACTGGACTGGTGTTCGGGTTGGGGGCGGGAGCAGGACGTGCTGCCGTGTGGAGGCGGGGGCCCCTCGCCCCGCGCCTCCCCCCCCCTGGGGAGTGCGGGGGCCCCGGGAGGAGGCTGGCGGGGCTGTGGGAAACGCTGGGGCCTGGAAGAGCCGCCCAGGCCGAGCCCCCGGCGCTGCAGGCAGGGCCCGCGCGCACCTTCTCGGCGTGGGAAGGCAGGACACGTCCACCCCACCAATGCGGATCCGTGCTGCGGGGCGGGGGGGCACTGCCGTGCGGTCGACAGGGACCCTGCCCACCCCCACCGCACTGCGCAGAGGTCTGGGCTGGTACATGCCCCCCTCCGCAGGACCTGCCCAGCGCTCCCTCGCTCCTGCCCCCCGCCCTACTTCTCCCCTCCCCCTGGGGCCTCCATCCACCGCACTCCGCGCCCCAACACCTCTCCCGCTCCCCCCTGCCCCATACAGGTACCTGCAGGGAGCTGCTCTCCAGCCTTTCCTGGTGTCCCCTGTGTCCTGCTCCCACCAGCCCCTTCCACACCTGAACACTGCCCGCCTGCAAAGGGAAACCCATGGGTTCCCATCCCTCTAGACACTGAATTTGGGACAAATGCTGTCCCAAGGTAATGCAGCCAAGGGCCAGGATTTGAGGTTCCTATTTGGGCACTGTCCTACCCAATCAGGGAGCAGGGGTCACCCTAACTGCAGGGTGGGTGCAGGAGGGAGCAGCCGATGGGCTGGGAAGGGTGAAGAGCTGCGGCTGCACCATTTCTTCAGCCAGCCCGGTCCGCATCCTGCGCTGGGGCCGGAGGGGAAGCAAGGACGGCTCCGACATTGCTCTGAGTAGGGGTGGTCCAGGCCATCAGGGCCGGGCAGAGCTCGGGCTGGGGCAGGGTTACGGTCCCAGGTGTTGGATCCATGGCCAGATTTCCGCTGTCTCCTTTCCCACAGGTGT